AAACAAAAGCAGGAGGAGCTGGAGAAACTCAGCAGGTCTGGCAGCCTCAGAGGAGTGATCTGCTGATGTAAGTTGGAATCAGCATCCAGTATGAAAAGGACTGCTGTGTAAAATGTCTTCTCCTGTAGCTCTGCTATAAATAGAAAGTCCAATTCTGCAATACAGGATTGATGAAAGAAGGAAAATTCACAACCATCTGCTGAGCAAATGCAACAGTTTAGCAAACCAGTAAAGGATGACACCTAGCAGCTGCCTGTCTCTATACAAGAGATGTCAAAGCAGAGATGAAGAAACAGCAAAATAAAACAAAGAACTGTGATTGCTGGAAATCTGACACAAAAACAGAAATGGCTGGAGAAATCCAGCTGGTCTGATAGCACGTGCTGAGAGGAAGCAGAGGTCATGTTTTGAGTCCAGTGACCCTTCCCAAGGACACTTCAGGAAGAGACAGCTGCTGGTTATTCAATTCAGTCACTCCAGCCCAGGTTCCAATTGGTGATTTTTAAAAGCAGCTGATAGCTGCAACTTGTACTTTCAGTTTAAAAGAGCAACACAATCCCACAGATTGCCCAGAAGTGAGTGACTCTTTAAGTCTGTAAATGCTGGCTTTTCTTTCTGTTTATCTCTGACAGGGCAGCAACTGAAGGAGTGGAGGTAGGGCAGGTGGAGGGGATACATATTCCTCTGTGCTTTCCTTCACTCCTTCCGCATTTGCACAAGATGCAGAAAATCAGGGTGAAAGCCAAAAATGAACATTTGCTCCCTTGTAACTCCAGAGGAAAGTGGAGTGATCACCATCTGCAAACCTGCCTTCCATGATTGGGTGGGTAGTAGGAACGTTCATCGATGAATACACCACGTTCAGTGACGCAAATTCTCAGATACTGAAGCAGCTCATGTCCATATGCAGCAAGAGCTGCACAACACTCTCGTTTGCTGGATGAACACAGCAGGCCAAGCAGCATCACAGATTCTCCAGCATCTGCAGTTCCTACTAACTCTCGTTTGCTGTTTGCTGGCAACTAACATTCATGCCTCGCAACAAAACAAAGAGAATTAACAATCTCTCGTTGACATTCGATGGTGTTACCATCACTGAATCCCCCACTATCAACATCCTGGGGGTTACCATTGACCTGAACCTCAAATGGACTCACCGCATAAACACAGGGCTACAAGAGCAGGCCAGAAGCTGGGAATACTGCAGCGAGTAACTCGCCTCCTGACTCCCCAAAGCCTGTCCACTATCAGGAGTGTGATGGAATACTCCCCACTTGCCTGGATGGGAGCAGCCCCAATAACACTCAAGACATTTGATACATCCAGAAGGAAGCAATTAATTGGATTGTCACTCCCTCCACAAGCAATCCACAGGGACAGCACTATCCACAAGATTAATTACAGCAACTCACAAAGCTATCCTCAACAGCACCTTCCAAACTTGTAGCATTTACCTTCAAGAAAGACAAGGGCAGCAGATACATGGGAACATAAGTTCCCCTCCAGGCCACTCACCATCCTGACTTGGAAACATATCACCGTTCCACACTGTTGCTGGGTCAAAATCCTGGATCTCTTTCCATAAAAACTGTCCTCCAGGTGTCCCTAAGCATGATGGGTTAAAGTGGTTTAAGAAGGCAGTTCAATTTGACCTTCTGAAGGACAACTAGGAATGGGCAACTAATGATGATGTTGCCAAATGATGTCTGCACAGCATGGAGGAGAAAAAAAACATTTCACTAAACACTGGCACTAAACACTGGCAATTGTCAGACAATTGTTATTCCAGTGTTAATGGAAGTCGCACACAGAGACCCTGCAGAATCCCTATTGTAGCAGACTCCAAAGGATTTTCCAAGGAAATCCAAGATTCCATTGGATAATTCCCCTACACCTAGGATCCTCTGAAAGTATCCATTTAAAATGAAGAATTTGGGCAGTTCTACTGAAATTAAGCAAATGAATACTCAGGAAAAGTTAGACAGTTAAGTACCTCGTCTAACTCTTGAAGAACAAAATCAGCTGATTCCCAACTTAACCCCCCTCTCCCAAGTTATACCAAGCCCAGATCCCCAATAATTCCAAACAGCAACCTAGCAACACTCTCTACCACTGGGTCCTAAACTCCTGTCCCTACTCCTGCTCAACATTCCTCCCCCAACCTCAAACCCCACTTCAGATTCCCCGCTCTGCACCTCTGCCCCATTACTGGACCCAATCAACCCACTTCACAGTTGCAGGCACCTGCCCCCTCCATGGAACCCATGTCCCTGCAGCCTGCTCCCCACTCCATGACACCCTCACTCCCCTCCCCCTCCACCAGGCCCAGCTCCACCTAAACACTCCTTCAGTGACCTGGCCCTCCCTTGCGCCTTGGTACCCCATCTCTCCGCACCCAAACCCTGACCTTCATGGCACACAATCCCATCGGGAACCTGACTAACCAGCCATATTAAGCTCTCGGCATCCTAAGCTCACAGTTACTTTCCATACAGTAGCTATCAAAGTGACTGTCTGTGATTCTGAAATCCTTGAAAAATCCAACCCTCACTCTACCTTCAGCTGGATGGAATGCCACCTCTAGCTGGATATGTTCCTGGAGAAGTCAGCACATGATCCCTCATTTCCAAACACTCACCCTCACCCTCGCCCCCATTCTGTCTTTTGCCAATTCAAATACCTGCATTTATGTTTCCTCAGCCACTTTTCTGCACCCAATTGGAGAGTGAGTTGACTCGTTATATTTTGAATGGATAATTCTTGGCAAACTTGGACCCCCATGTCT